GGAATTTGTTCATTTCTTCTGTATTTTCCATCTTATTAGAATATAGGTTCTCATAGTATATACTTATAATCATCTGGATTTCTGTTGTATCCATTGTGGTTTTTCCTTTTTCATTTCTAATTGTCTGAATTTGTATTTTTTCTTTCCTTTTTTTTGATGTGGTTGGCTAATGTTTTATCAATTTTGTTTATTCTTTAAAGAACCAATTTTTTGGTTTATTGATTCTTTGTATTGTTTTCTTAGTCTCAATTACATCGATTTCTTCTGTTTATAGTTTCCTCTGTTGTATAAGCTTTGGGTTTGCTTTGTTCTTTCTTTTCTAGAAATTCAAGGTTCAATATTAGGTTGGTTGGTTGAGCTCATTCACTTTTTCTAATGTAAGAGTTCATTGCTATAAATTTCCCTCATGGAAGTGCTTTCATTGCATCCTATAAGTTCCAGTATGTTGTATCTGCATTATTGTTCAATTGTATATACTGTTTAATGTGGTCTGTAATTTCATCTGTGTCCCTTGGTTGTTTAAAAGAGTGTTGTTTATTTTACATGTGTTTATGTAATTTTTGAAATTTCTTTTGCTGTTGATTTCCAGTTTCATTGCACTCTGATCAGATAGTATGTATGGGATGGTTTCCATTCCTTTACATTTATTTAAGCATGTTTTGTGGGTTAATATGTGATTTATTTGGAGAACATCCCATGTGTAACTGAGAAGACTGTGTTCCGGTATTTTGTAGTGGAACGCCTTGTAGACATCTACCAAGTGTTATTTGTTACAGGCTTGGTTTAATTCTAATATTTTTTGTTGATTTTTTGTTCAGTTAAAAATCTATTTGTGAGAGTTAGGTATTAAGATCCCCCATTATAATCATGTTAGTGTTTATTTGGTTTTTCATGTCTGCTAATAATTGCTTTATGTAGTTGGGAACACAAAGGTTTGGTACATACCTGTTTATAAATGTTATCTCTTATTCTTGGAGTTTTCCCTTAACAAGGGTGTAGTGCATTTCTTTGTCTCTTTTAATCAGTTTTGGTTTAAAGTTTTTGTTGTATTCAAATAGAATAGCTACCCTTGCTTTTTTTTTTTTTTTTTTTTTTTTTTTTTTTTTTTTTTTTTTGGTTCCTATTGCATGGAGACTTTTTTTTTATTCTTTGACTTTTAGTCTGTAAACTTCTTTTGGGTTAAATATGTTTCTGGAATGCAGCATAATATTGGCTCTTGTTTCTTGATCCACTCTATCAGTCTAATTATTTTGATTTGTGAGATGAGACAATTTACATTGATGGTTACAATCTGTTATATATTGGCTAATCTGTTTTTGTTTCCTTATCTTTATTCTCTGTTTATTTGTTTGCCTTGCCTGCTGGCTTCTTTCTGTTGGTGTCTTGGATTTATGATCTTAGTTATCTCTGTAATATATACTTCAGAGCATTCCAAAGAACTGGTTTGGTGGTCATAAATTTCTTCAGTTGTTGTTTGTCATCGATGTATCTTATTTCTCCATTTATTTTGAGGTACATTAATTTGGGTTGAAGATTGTTTTTTTTTTTTTTTTTTAGGGCTTTAAACACCTCATTCCAAGATCTCTTTGATTTGAAGATTGTGTTGAGAAATCTACGTGATTCTGATGGGCTTTCCTTTATAGGTGATTTTTTACTCCCAGCTGCTCTTTTTTTTCTCCTCATGTTGAATTTCTGAAATATTAATTATTTTATGCCGTGGTGTAGATTTCAAGTCATGGCTATTTGGAGTTCTATATGCTTCATCTATTCATATGTCAAATTCTTTATCCATGTTTGGGAAGTTTCTGTCATTATTTGTGTGAAGAGGCTCTTTATGTTGTTTGTGCTGCCTCCAGCTTCTCACCATCTCCAATCAATCTTATATTGTTCTTCTTTGCTTTATTTTGTAGCTGTTGAATTGATTTTTTCATAAACAGTTGTTGTTTTTAAGATCTCTTTCTTTCCCAGGCACTAGTCACAATCATGTCTTCTAGATCTGATGTCATATTCTTGCCTTCATTCAATCTGTTACTTATACTTTCTGAAAGATTTTAAACTCCTGAATTATGGCTTGAATCTGTTTAATTGATTCCATTTCTTTTTCTATGTTGAGCATGTATGGTTTCCATCATTATTCTCAGCTTCATTATTGTATCTGTTTTGATGTCTGTGATTTTGGGTTTTGTTTTGTTTTGTTTTGTTGCTGCCAGAAACTGAGCTCAGGGCCTCATGCTTGCCAGGCAGGTGCTTTGCAACTAAGCCATAACCCCAGCCCTGATATCTGTCATTTTGATCATCATTTCTTTTTACACCTTAGAGATTAGTTTATCTGTGGCTTCTTCGATTTTTTTTCACTTCTGCCGCTATCATTTCAGAAAGGTCCAATGGTTAACTTCTAATTTGTTCTATGTCTTTGTGCTCTAGAGTTCTCCTGGCTGTGCTGGGTGTTTGGGGTTGCATTTTGCTCCTTCATCTTGTCATTTTCTGTTTTCTATTTTTATTTTACTTTGTTTTCTGTGTTGATGCTTGCAGATTTCTTACATTAAATGGCTTTATCCCTTTATTCCTATGTCCAGGCTCTCCTAGGAAGTGTCTGTTTCTCAGGATGTCTTCTACCTGTAGGCAGTTTTTGATCTTTAAGTCTATCCCAAGAACCTACCTTCTCAATATATTAAAAGTGTAAAGTTGTTGTCTCTGGCTCAGAGATCATTCTTTTGGTACTTGACTGTAGTGATTACAATTGCAGTGTTTTCCTACAGGGGAGAAAAACTGATTATTACAACTATAACATGTTGGTTGAAGTGGCATAATTAGAAATAACAATAAACTTAAGCCCAGCCTGGCTAGTGACAAACTGTGGTCATTATTAGCCTGATATCTTTAGCCATAGCAGCAAGTTCTATAGTTATATAATACAATTCAGCTTATATCAGGAACTAATATGTAATCATTTTCCACTTAATAGAGTGATTTTACCCTGTTGTGTGAGGGGTTTTAAGAAGATAGAGAGTAGGCTAAACAGATGAATGAGGTTAAATACAGTTGGGATCATATTGGTGGGTGTAGGACAATCATCCAAGTTTTGGGTAATTGTAGGACACAAGTAAGGAGGATTGGAAGAGAAAGCCTAGAAGCACTGACTATACAGCAAGAGAAGAGACACTGTTTACTCACATGTAAGTATTATAAAATCAAGCAAGGTAACTGACAATAGAGTAGAAGAGAATGAGTAGAATAAAACAAAAAGAAAAGTTAGAGATCTATTGTGAGAGAAAAAAAGAAAAAGGAAAAAAAAAACCCACAGGAAAATAATCACCAGTGTCCCCAACAAACAAAAAATATACTGTAAGAAAAAACAAAACAGGATAAAAGAGCAAAAAAGAAAAGAGAAAAGAGAAAAACAAGTGGAAGGCAGCCCAGCCCACTTGTATTTCACATGTCTTTATTCCAAGCACCGTGTTGGTTCAACTAAATTACCACCTTCTGGCTCATATTGCTGCTGTTGCTTCTGACAGTTTTACCTGGCTGATCTCACCTGTCCATCCTGTGTATCCTGGCTAGGGCCTGCTGTGTGGCTGTTGTTCTCACTGGTCTCTTGACTTGCTAGGTGGTTCATGTAGCAGCAGTGACTGGAAGAGCTTGTCTCTGGATCTCCCATGCATACCATTCACCTGGATCCCAGCAGCAGCAAAGGGAGAGTCCAATCTTGGCCTTCCCATGTAGTTCACCTAGATCCCGGTATAGGCACTGAAGGGAAGAATGTAGGTCACTTTTGGGCAACACAGGAATTTGTTTGAAGTACCTAATGATTACATTCTTTAGGGGGCATTGGTACACACACATAACACATCTTTTTCTCTTTTTTAACTTCTTCTTTATTTTCCTTTCTTATCCTCTTTACTTCCCCTCCTTCCTCCATCTTTGGTCCCTTTCCTTTTTGCAAAAGTTTTGTCACTGGTTTCCTGTTGTTTACTATTTGGTTCTATAATTTATTTACATTTTGAATTTCCCATATAAGAAAAATCTTACGATATTTAAACTTATGTATCTGATTTATTTCACATTATGGTCTCAAGGTATGTCTATTTTCCTACAAATAACTCAAATCCATCCCTTCTTATGGCAGAATATTGCTTCATGGTACTACAGAATAGTACTGCTGACTGGAGTAGTACTCAATTCTTAACAATTCTGAAAATTTAAACACACAAGCATATAAATATTTTTATATAATAGGTATAAGCTATAAATTGTACTAATGCAAGTATACGTAAAAGTACTTACTAAAAATAACAAAGCAGCAGCATTTCAAAAACCATGCCAATTTTATCAAAAGAAAAGATGGAATTAAATTGATAACTATAGAGATTCTGTGTGCAATAGTTGCTTTATTTTCATTTCCTTTTCTGCTTGCTTCTTTATTTAAAACAATATGAAATTTGAATAGATTCATGTAAATAAATTATATCAGTAAAAATATTTTTGAATTACAAAATATATCATCTAATATTCATCATTACTAGGCTTTCTATGAATTGAGTTGGATAGAAATGGAATAATTTCAAATATCGATATTATAAATTTTCCTACTAATGAAAGAATTTGCTTATATTTTAGAAAAAATATTGAGCTTAGTATGGATTGTCATAGTAATGTATTTCATTGTGTAGATAAGTATGCATACATGTCTTTAATTCTAAACTCATTTAATATCTCTTCAATAATAACTAAAATAACCTTTACAATAAACTAGACTTATATGTAAAAAATACAAGGCAATTAATATCAGATAATTTTGTAAATAACTTGATTAGATTGCAGACAATTGTTAGAAGTCTAAAAATTGTTTACAAGTTCAATAAAAATATTAGGATATGTTGAGTTTACCCTGACAGATAATTACATTATTATTCCTTTTTATTTATTTTACTGAAATTTAAAAATTCTCATAGATGAATACAATTTAGACTAAATTTAATAAAATCATTTTTTTCTCTTAGGAAAAAGTCAAAGAGAAGGAAGAAAATCTGAATCTTGTAAACCCATTCTTAAAGTAGAATACAAGACCTGCAGAAACAGGTATGCATTTTTGTTTTGGTGAATATGAGAGCAGATGTAAGGAACAAAAAGGAGACAGGCAGATAACTTGAACATTAATATATTGTTAAAGTTTTCCCATAATTAAAAATATATTAACTAGTTGAATCCTCTACCTCAGTAATAACTGAATTTTTGTTTAATAGGCATATCTGTGATGATCAACATTATGCATATTGAAAATAATAGGAATTACTTATTTTAAAGTTGTTATTATTCATATGAATGTTATATTCGTTAGTTTTTATAAAAGAACTTTTGACCATGAATGTTAAAAATATAAATACTAAGCTTTTCCTCTATCAAGTATATCTCATATTACAATTTGTCTTTTTTTTAATCACTTAAAGATTTGAGACCTCACCTGATAACTAGTTCATGGGATACTATAACATAAACTAATATTCTATTGAAAGTGATTTAAAGTTTGGGAACCAGCTAATTTGTTAAAAAGTCTTAATGGGTGAGGGCCCAGAGGAGGAGGGTAAGGAAACAAAAAAAAGAAAAAAATAGAATTGAAGAAAAAAATGAAAATAGAGTGTTAGCACATTGAAAAGGACCAAGACTTGGAAGAAGTGGGAAGGGATAGTGGAAGAAAAAAGAAAAGACAAGGAAAGAAAAGATTAAAGATGTATTATGTACATGTACCAACTCCCTATGATAAATATAATCACTGTGTTCTGCAAGCATACACCAATAAAAAAATTTTACAGGTCTCTTTTGCTTTGGTTGACTCAGATTGGCACCATTGTAAAGCACTTGTAACTATGCTGTTTTAGTCAGAAAAATCACAGCCTGGACAGTGAGATTTTTGCAGGAAGGAAATACAAAAAACAAAGATAGTATTGTGAAAAACAAGGTTACAGCATTACTTAGTATGAAAGAGTGAAAGATAATAAACAATATATAATTCTTGAATGATAAAAAAAATTAAAGGAGTCAGTGACCAAGCACTTCCACTTCACTCCAGCTTTATGCCTTACTCCAACAGCTTTAAATCCACCCATTTCCTAATAGCTACAGTGCATACACCTAGAAAGGGAAATGGTAAACCATACATAGTTGTGCGAGAAATTTTGGAACCTTTCACTGTCAAATTTCTTTGTGTATAACTCTCATGAAATTCTTTAAAGTTTAGTATTTGGACTTTGTGTCATAAAGTCCTTCTCAATCTTGTTAACCTTCTTCCCATATAGTGAACCATTCATAATATTTTCTGGTGGACTCTCCTATGACAAAGCTTGCAGAAGACCAAGTTTAACCATTATGCATGGAAAAGCAATTACAGTACTTGAAATGGATCATCCTATTGTTGAATTTTTAACTTTATGTGAAACACCCTATCCAAATGGTGAGTGACTAAAATGAAACTTTTAATGTTGAAAAAAATCATTTTTGAAATAAGTTCCTAACAAAATTAAGGTTAAATATTTTCAGTTTTGGCAGCAGGCATCAACTGGGGTACACTGTGAACTACAGGTGCTGGAACAGGTTCTGCAATTGTACCTACTTGACAAACTGGAAGTAAGACAGATGTAGTGCAGCAGTGCTGGCGTTTCAGGTTCTAATGTCAGGTAAGTGCTTTAAACTTTGATAAGGATGGTGGAAGCTGAGCTGGGAGGGTCCGATAGGGGTCCAGGGCGAAATCACTTGGGGAAACTGAGGTCTCCTAATAGTCTCTCCTTGACCAGCTCCACCCATCCCATCCCAAAGCTAATCAAAGTTAAAGCACTTACCTGATATCAGTGATCTGTAACTCTGGTGGTGCTGCATCTGTTTCACATCTGGTTTTGCTTCAGAGGCAACTGCAGCATCTCTGATTACTATAGGATTGCTGATGTTAGTTAGTAACTCATTTCAATCTTGAGCATAATTAGATCTTGTAGAGGAGAGATGCATATTTATTTTTATCATTATGAATATAAAGATTTTGTAAACATAAAAGCTACTTTTAAGCGCTTGCAAACTAACGAAATATAGTAGTGATAAAAATATGTGGATGAACTCTATAAAAAGTGGGGATAAAAACATAAAAATGAAATAAAATTTATAATTCAAACAGCAGTGTATGTGTATACATTACTACATTTTCAAGCGGGAAGATATAGATGTAGAAGAAAGAGCATGGGAGTTGGGGACAGAACATTTTATAATTTAGTTCTGTCACTTACTAGTGATGTAGCACTGAGGAAGACATTTCACACTTACGATTTTTATCATTTGTACAAATACAGTAATAATCATGTTGCTACATGATTATTGGAAGATAACAATAGTTTATAAACCATGACAATACATCTTTTTTGTGAGTTTTATTATTAAATGTATTAATTTCTTTTAAATTATTGTTTTATATTTAAAACATGGAATAAATAACATGAACTGTAACACTTTACCAGATTTACTAGGAGAAATTATCTGTGTTTCCATTACTCAGTAAATATTTATTCAATGCTTATATAGTCTTAGTTCTATAAGAGCTATGTAGTATGAAACTGACCCTTGAGGTCAAATTGTATAAAATTTAATGAGTGAGATAATTATGACTTGGTTAAATTCTAAGAATTTAAGTACTGAATTACATGATTTAGAGTTTCAGTAACATAAATTTGTAGGCTGCTTATATTGTCAGTAATTGAAATATTCATGCAAAACTTCATAGAAAAGTACAATTTAGGTAGATCTTAAAAAGGATATTAATAATGGTTTTTAGAAAGTTTTCAGTTTATTAGGTTATTAGAAATTTAGAATGAAAACCTGAGAGTCTTTTAAATGCTTTAATGTTATTTTCTTAAGAAGCATTGCCTAACCACCAATAATCAGAATTTGGCAGCTTCAAAGAGTTAGCTGTAGCCAGTCCTCTCTAATTCCCAAAATAATGTGTTTTCTCTTTAGAGGAGTAATAAGTATAATAGTGCTTTCTACTATGTTTGAGGCTAGGATCACAAAACTGTAATAAACCAACCCAGTGAAGTAATACAGTTATCAGTGATAGTATACTACTATGACCTAGGTTTTGCATTAAACATTTTCATTTATATTTCTTCATCCAATCTTCATGATAGTCTAATGTAGTTATTATGCCTTTTCAATTAGTACAGGAATTTAATTTTAAATAACATAAGTAATTTCCCCAAGATGATGTTTATAGTAAATAAATACAGAATCAAGCCCCGTGTTGATTCCCATGGAGGTCCTTTGTTTATTGATTATCACAAATACAAGGTACTTCTACAAAAATGAAACTTCTCCTTCTAGTTTTTGTTATTTGTAAAGGAACAACAACAATGTAAAACAGCTACAATTACTAAAATCCTAGTTTATCTATTTATAATTAATTCATACATGCTAATATATCAGCTATTTTATTTCTAGAGCATTTGTTTCCTAATCAACAATGTTCTTAAGAGGAGAATGCAAAGATGAAGTAATCATATGGAGAACTACTCTACTTAAAACTGAAAAATACAACATATTAAAACAATGTTCAAAAACTTTAAACAACTCTAAAGATAAGGGAGAAAGGAGTAAAGTCTGGGTTTGAGAACAGTATCAAACAGTACATAGATCACATTCTGTCACATAGATTTATACACAAACATCAATGCCCAGAGACTATGTCATATTTTCATTTGTATGTTTACATATTTTTATATGTTTTATATGCATGTGAGTGGTAAATATAAACCTGAGTAGACTCTAGTTTCTCAGGTCTAGAAGTATTATGAAGACTGTTTATTCCAGTATTTTAGTTTCCCATCCAAGACTTGAATCCTCTGGACAAAATTCCTACCAAGTGATTATAGAGTTTGGGATTGCACATTTCCCAAACTAGATACTAGAAATGGCTGATATAATGAAATCAAGATGGAATTTTAAATCAGAAGGCCTGGGTTCACACTTTAGCTCAATCCCTCATTTGTTATATAAGCTATACCAGTAACTTCATCTTTTCTGACCTCACTTTTCTCCCTAAAATGAAAAAGTAATAGTATAGTATGTCTTCTAGCTAATGAGAAACAAATATTATGCATGCAAAAAATATGTTTATGAATACTTCTTCCTTAAATTGAGAATGATTCTTTCACTATAGTGTTTCCTTACTAGTCCTTTATTGTAAATGGAAAGTAGGATCTGTAATTAAATTAGGATCCTCTCCTACAAAAACAAATCACTTCCATGGCATTATCTTTTTGTTTCTTTTTCCATAGCTCATGTTACTTCACAAATTCATCTTATTCCTTTGCTTGTCCATGGACTGTAAAACATCTCTGTAATGTAAACTCTCTCAGAGTGCTGTATCTGTGTTGTTGTTAAGAGTTTCTGGAGCGTATTGGAGGAAGAAAGGAAGGGAGAGAATATATGATTTTCTAGGAATATAGTACTAAGCAATCTATAAGTATGTGTTAAATTACAGTGAAGTGCAAGTAAACATTTTAGTATGATTAGTATTACTTTCATAAGGAAGTGAATACGTGTTAATACTCCGGAAACGCAGTTACTATTTCCGTAGGATCTACTTGGAGAAATGAAAATGGAGCTAAAATATAAAGGTTATGAAAGAGTAAGATAAATGCTTATACATTAGAGGTGATAGTCTCACTTTTCACTCAACACTTCTATCACTACACTGTGATAATCGAGATCAATTTAATTGTTATGTAACTTCTCATGTTTTCCTTCTCTATAATGATCTTAATTTTAAATTTAATACACATGATACATGTTTTATTAAAGTGTTCTTGGTTACACAGACTTATATTTTAATTTTCTCAAATCATTTAAAAAACATTTATGTAGGAAGTAAAAGGTATATAGTTTCATTGATTTTTTAAAATAAAATATGCAACATGAAAACTTCTTAACTTTTTATTTTTACTTGTAGAATTCCAAGAGCCCTATGCCGTTGTGGTACTTCTGGAGAAAGATCTCATTGTAGTTGACCTGACACAGAGCAAGTAAGTTCCTCATGGACAGATCAATTACAATGATTTTTAGATTCTTTTCATTACAATTAAAATGCAGGAGCACATTTAATATAATTGACATTAATATTCTTTATGTAGTAAATTCATGCATAGTATTTGAAAGTTGTTTTGCTAAAATTATAGAAATGAAATTTTGTTAAATGATTAAAAACTAAACCAGGAGAGTGTGGATAACCAAGACATCTGAAAGATACCTAATATTTGATCAGGAGCATTTGTAGACTCAGGACATACTATGGATCATATTTCTGCTCTTTTCTTAAAAGCAATTATAAGCGAGACTTATCTATATATAATAGATGGCTATCTGCTAGTCTATTGACTGAAGGAAAATTGGTTAGAGAAAATTACACTTAATAATTATTAGATTACTGTAGCAGACAACATGAAAGACCAGAATCTTTGTGACAGAAAAGATGGAGAACTGCATTTGTTTTCTTTTTTTTTTTTTTTACAGTATGTTATGTGTAATTGAAACAAATATGGAATACTATTGCTACAGTGATACTTTCCTACAGTGGCAGCACTCCTTTACATTGACAGTAAAAATAGATTTGAAATTGATGTCTTCTGACTTCATATTTTCTTTATAAGTTATAACAGGCATGAATCAAATTTGCCTTCATATTGATAGGTTAGCACCATTTTTCTACAGTACAACTTTATGCATTTTTAACTCGTCCCATAATAACTTGTTTCTTTTTCTCCTACTGGGAATTTTAAGAATCTCAATTCAGGTATCAGTTTCTCATTAAAAAGAAACCTTTCATTATCTGTATTATCTGGTCAAGTGCCTCTAAGGAGGACTCAGAGCTCCCATAATCCTCACTTCAGTCCTTTGACATACAGCTTTTCCATTTGTCCTTGCCTAAAGCTTATCTCCTTTTTGAACTACAGCTCCATAAAGGAGGGGCTATTTCCTTCCTCTACATTTTTGTTAAGTACATACAGTCTGAATTCTTTCCACATAGTGTGTACTAAGCCAGCATTCTTTTTTGCTGATTTGCAGCATATAATATGTCAGAGTTTTGAGGGAGATGTAGAATGTGAACTATAAAAATCAAAGCTATGAATTCTGCCTACCTGCCCTACTTATCAACAGTAAACTTGATTAATTTTGTATGTAAGGATTTATGTTTCTTCATCTAAGAAATTCTAAAGTAAATATTACAGTCTAACCTTCTGATCTTATTGGTACTCAACCCTTTGTTCTTCATTTTTGTTGGTTCCTCAGACTTCAGCTATGTCTAGTACTCTGCAAGGCCTACTGCTGCTACTACTTTACCTTTAATACTGTACTGTATTTCTTCAGTATATATTTATGCTTTCACTTAAATTTTTTACTGTAATAAAATGTGCATAACATAAAAATTACTATTTTATACAATTTTTGCTGCTTGTTACATTAAATATGTAAATTAATATTTTCTATATAAGTTTATATCTAACATTTTACCTTCTTGAGCACCGGCTTTCAAAATTTATGTGATATTCCAATTTCTTTGGGTAGTTATGAAATTTAATGTATCAAAATTGATTAAATTATTTCTTATCAAATATATATTAGTCTCAGTGATGTTGAAAGTTATACAAGTCATAAGTTTGCATCACTTTTCAAATATCTTTCATTTCCTTCTTTGCATTTAATCTTCAACATAAAGGCAAGCATTAGTTTCTTGGATTCATATCTTCAGTTACATTTCAATAGCAGTCAGTTTACTTTTACATTTCAATATTGCAGCAAAATTTTAGTTACTGTTTTCCTCTTTTATATTTTTATGCCTAATTTTTGCCAATATACTAAAATAATTTTTTCAGAGATTTGTAATATACTGCTTATATTGTTAGAAGCATAACATTGTTACTTTTTGTTATTATCAAATTCTAAGCTGTAGGTTTGGTACTCAAAATGATTCATTTCACTTCTTATTTTACAGTCTCATACATGTTAATAATTTATACTCTGAAACAGAATTTCTGATCCATTGTTTTACTTACTTTCTATTTACTATGACTTCTCCTTTCCCCTTAATTTTGCATATTGTGCTGTCTTTACCTGAGATACCATACCCTCAGCAGTATTTTACACTATAAAAAAGAGAATTCATGCCAGCATATATCATCACATGTACTATATTCTCTAGATATTAAACTAGCTTCTTAATTCCTAATTAAGTTCCTAATATCATGAAAAATTATTTTTCACATTCTCTCTCCTCCTTGATCAAAAACATTTCATGGGACAAAAAACTGTTCAAAAGGAAATAAAAAGTATAATTGGGGAAAGAAGAAAAGAAGGAAAGGAACAGGAAAAAAAATACACATATATATCAGATCCTGACCTAGATCCCCAGTCTCCCAAATGAGTGTATGGCAGAGGCTTAAACAAAATGTGACAAGTTTATGATCTGAGGGCCCCAGGAGGGTCAAAACTCTTGAAGCTCAAGACTCTGAGGGCTAAGTCAAGACTTCTCTGGATCAGCCCACTTTTATTAGGACTAAGGTCAAAAGGTGGGGAAACTGAGGAAAGCACAGGCAATGAGCACGACCTTGGGAGTAACTTCAAGGACATCTCCAAGTAATGAATCAAATCAATTCAGTAGAACTGTCATATCATGAAGACATGGTAAAAGTGAGACTGTAGGAGTAATTTCTGTAGCTGCAGTCTATCTACTTAATTGATCTTTGAGCCAAGTGTTGGTAGCTGCCCTTTGAGTTATCTCTGGCCTCAAAGGCCACTACAGGCCTCAGCCAGGATCAGTGATTCATAGAGGTTCACTTACTATGAATCAGCTCCCGTTGCCAGACAAGGGGCCGATGTCTAGGACAGACTCATGGATAAACATTCAAAGCCATTAGTTAATTTTAAATCCTGCTCAGAGCCGCTTCGTAGTGGTCTCCAATACATATACACAAAAGAGTTAAAATACTACACTACCAATTGCTATTTTTCTTTGAAAAGAAGGGTTTTTGCCTCTATTGTTTGATCAATTTTTTATGTCTATATCTTTGAGTATGAGCAACTACTTTGAAGATAACAATATGTAATGACTAACCGTTGTTACTCTCCTACAATTTTATTTTGAAATTTTATATCATTGTTTTATTTTCTTTAAAAGACAAACAATTTCATTAGAAGTAATGTTATCACAAAGACTTTGAACAGATGTTGCATAGAATAGTATTATTTCCTTTCCTTATTGTTACATGAGAAGTTTTAAATATATCTATAATACTTTTTTAATTGATTCTGTATTCATGCCCTTTTTAAGGTTATTGTAGGCTTGAGGAAATTTATTGCATCCATGAGAATTCATTTCAACTATTTACTCTATAGACATGAAATGATCTTTCAAAAACGCTGTCACACACTCATGCACACCAATGTATTACACATATTTTTCAGTTATTCCTACAAAAAAATTCAGTTTCTGCTGATGTATTACTTCCATTAAAAACATGCCAAAATATACTAACATTTAAATATCTATGACTGTATTATATAAATATTTAGATGAAAAAGTTAATATGATTTTAATAAATTGACCTTGTTTCATGATATTTTCAATTTAATATAATTGATTTTATTCATATTAGCATAGCAGTGTCACTGTAGAATGTTGGAATTCGTTAAGGAAAATAAATTTGAGTAAATTTCTAGCATTATTAAAATTATATTTTGTAGACAACTTTTTAAAAGAATATATTATTTATATGATTCTTGTTTTTATGTTGCTGGAAACAAGTGAAATTTATAATGTGTTTAGAAACATTTTAGGACTCAGTATAAAAATTATTCCATATTTTTACAGGTGTAAAATGACACTGATATATTGTCTTTATCTATTAGTTTTCCAATCTTTGAAAATCCATATCCCATGGACATTCATGAGTCACCAGTTACATGCACAGCATATTTTGCCGACTGCCCTCCAGATTTGATTCTAGTACTCTATTCTATAGGAGTCAAGCATAAAAAACAAGGATACAGTAATAAGGTAAAAGTAGAAACTACAAATAATTTTTCTTGTATTCATGGTATATTGTCATACTAAGTATAATATAAACTGAAATTAACATATTAGAATCATAAGATGTAACCTTTAGTATCACAAACATATACTATGAAAAGTAGAAAAAATGATGTAGCCTTAATTATTTTAAATAAAAGATTATGCTTAATCATTAAGAACTTCAAATCAGTTCTTCTTAGTTTATCATTTATTAATTAATTCATAGTTTAGAAAACATGATTAATAAAAATAATTTATTAACATTACAAAATTTATTTTTGTTTTTATTACAAGATCAAATATTTATAATTGTCACAGACTACCTACTATGGTTTCTGTTATTTTCTAGGTCTATTGGAATGGATAACTCCAAGAGACACCATTTTTATAGTATTCTGTTCAAATAACTCCATAATAGCTTGTTGATGCACAGACTATGTAATTTACATGGCAACATTGTCTTTGTATAGTTAAAAATACTTCTTTGGTTTGCTTATATGAATGATAATATTATTTAAAATCTGGTATGTTTTTAATGGAGGTAGAATTGTACATTTAGAGAGGTGCTTGTTCAGTGAAAGGCAAAAGATAGCTACATACTTCATCCTTTATTTTACAGCTGTTTAATGTTAAGTAAACCTTTTTTCATTCTAAAATACTTTAATTTTCTAAGTCATTCAAATTAAAAATATAAAATTTACATATTCTTCGTGGATAATCTATTTAGGTGTGGCCAATCAGTGGAGGAGCTTGGAACCTTGGCGCACAAACATATCCAGAAATTATTATTACTGGGTAAGTGAGATGTTTTTTAAATTACCAGTTTATTAACAAAAATGTATTTATGGAGTCTTGCTGTTTTTTTATAATTGTGCTCTATGCTGACTAACAGTTGGAGCCAATGTAAAATTATAAGACATTGTTTCAACCTAAAGATTCTAATCTTGATGGAAGGTAGAAGTAAATTATATAAAGTAAAAAGAATTATATAGAGATTATATATAAAAGAATGGCAAAAATGGTAAACAGTGAGAGACGAGTCAGGAAAAGTTTTTATACAAATGACAGAATATAAACTTCATAAAGATCCTTAACAACATCTCCCAGTTCCTGCTGAGTCCAGAAATTGCTGCTATGAATCACTACCAAATGATTATAGTGTGGTTCAAAACATAAAGCACTAAAAAAAAGCACTTTTGTATAGTAACCCACGTCATATTCTCACATTAGGAATGAAGAGAGAATAGCTAAAAATAGTGGGAAAAAAGTTCTACTAAGAGGAAGATAGAGTAAATATACTTTTTCTTAATATTTCCACTAATTACAGCTGCAAATCCTTGATGGTATATGTAACACAAACATACAATAAGTGAGAAGCTTGGAAAGATATTAGACTGTCCAGGTCCCTCAGATTCCAAAGAATGGCATAGTAGTTGGTTCCTTAGGTTTTTTTTTCCCTGTCTCATTTTCCCCAGAAAAGAGTTGAAGAAGCTGGTACATTGAATCTGTGAATAGGCACAGAACAAACAAATGCAAGTTCACCATAACCAAAGGATGAGGAGAAGGACATTGTACCAAAATGCAAAACTTTTGCAAAGTAATCTTTCTACTTGATTTAAGTAGCAGATGTGTGTGTGCATGCACGCATGCACATGCACGTGCGCACCCCCCCCACACACACACACACGCACACCCCACACACACACAGGGCCGAGCAAGGAGCTGGACTTTCAACTCCACTTTGAGAAAGTTCTCTCTGATGGTGTTAGTGGACAACACATGAGAGCCAAAATTCCCAAGATTCTCAGGAGTAATGAGGAACCACTACTTTTCACCCTTCATGTCAGTGGAAATCAAATGAGGTAGGAGAGAAAAAAGAACAAGGTTTAAAAAGTAGTCAGGGAAATAATGGCTGAAAATTTACAAATTTAACAAAAGGCACAAACTTACAAATTCTGTAAGCTGGGCAACCCCACAAAATCCTTATCAAGATTCATCATAGGTACTTCTGAACACCAAATACAAAAAGAAGTTTTGAGAGGCACAGAGAGAAATGATGCCTTATCTGTAGTGGCATACTAGTATATTGAATGATGGCAGATTTTTCACCAGAAACCTGAGATCCAGAAAGAAGGAAACCTTTCAGAAGAAGACACTTTTAAAATGATTTTTAAAATGATGAAAGAGAAAAAAACTGTCAACCTAGAATCTTACACTTTCTGAACATATTTGTCTGAAAGGAAAAATTAAGACATTCTCAGATGAAGGAAACTAAAGGAATATGCTAACATCAAACCTAAAGAGTGGCTAAAGAAAGTTCATTACACAGAAAGTAAGGCTTTTATATTTACTTTGTACTCATAATAAAGACATTGTAGACTGTGATTAATTATTAATATGAGAAATACAGTATCTGACTTGACTGAAAAAGTTAGAAAATTAGTACACTCAAAAATATTATCACCTGGCGTGGTGGCTCACGCCTGTAATCCCAGCACTTAGGAGGCTGAGGTGGGAGGATCGTTGCAAGTTCGAGACCAGCCTGGGCTACAAAGTAAGCTGAGGCAAGCCTGAACTGCATAGCAAAACCCTATGTCAAAAAGACAACAGAAAAACAACCAAAAAGAAAAGTAATAAACTAAGTCTAGCATGTAAATATATATGTGAAGTATAAAGTGATCTAAATAGACAGATTGAAAGAGTAGATTAAAAATCATGACCCAACTCTATATCTTCTATGACATACTCACTTCAAATATAACAGTATAGAACGATTCAGAAGAAAAGGATTGAAAAGATTGTAAAAAAGGACCAGTGTGCAAAATATCACTAAAGAGATAGATTAGGAAGCCTCAGCTCTTGTTCGCCATAGAGATACATTACAGTGTATAATCCAAATAGTTTTATGAGAATTCCAGAAACCAGTTGGGAAGTTGGCAATACTTGTAGCAGGCTCAAAACCAAAAACAGCACATTAAATTTAGCAACAGAAACAGTTTCTTTTCTACCTTCTCAGCCTTTTCTCCAAGTTGCTATAAATTACAATTAGGAAGAAAATGCAATTTGTAGTTTTTCCTTTGAGAGATAAAGCTCCATCCAATGCTTTGGATTTTCAGGAGCTGCCTGTTTTGTCTTATCTGACTGACTCAGGGACTGTTTTCTGTCTTACCTCACTCAGAGATGGCTGTGGTTTAGCTGTCTGAGAGCCACTGTGAACAAGAGTTCAGTAGCTTACTGTAGGTGAAAGAACTTTCAATACTGCACACAGACACTAGAAGCAGTGACACATTGTAAACGCCTAAGGAGAAAAAAACGAAAAACTGGAAAACTTCTCTAATTGGAGAATTATACACGGAAGCTCTGACAACACACATATCTATAAAATAAGATCTGAGAGGATCTGAGAATCTACCTGAACTGGCTGTTTTTTCAAATGTCAAACTCCTCACAATAAAATGAAAACATTCAAAGAATCAGGGAAGAATGGACAAAATAAATCTCTGGACCTTAAAGAGCCATATGGCCGTGAATTACTTGGCACAGAATTCAAAATAATCATCTTAAGTCTAATCTATTAGAACACCAAAAGAAAGATAAAATCAGGAAAGTGGTGCATGAACAAAATAACATCAGTAGTTTAAAATTATTTAAAAAAATCAAATAGAAATTCTGAAGAACACAATAATTAAATTATTCACAATAATTGAATTTTTTTAACTGAATTGAGAAAAACTGTTGGTATTAGCACAAGACTTTTTCAAGCAGAAGAACTGGTGAACTAAAAGGCAGGTAATTTACAATTGAGTCAGGAAAAATGCCAAAAAAAAACCCCCAAAACAAATAGGTGAGGAGGGCTTATGGAACACATTCAAGTGACTAGCATATTTTTCTGCAAAAACATTACAGACTGGAAGAAAATAGGATGTTATATTCAAGGAGGAAAAAAATATGCCATCCAAGAATACTATAAAGTATGATCATAAACTGAGAATTTGATAAAGATGAAACATTTATTCATTGTAAAACCTAGCAAACTAGGAGTAGGATCAAAAACCTATGATCTGAAAAAGTTGCTGTTTTTAAAAAATTGCAAATGTCGTATTTATTATTGAAATATTTGGACTTTTGTCCCCTATACAGAGAATGAGACAAGAATACTTTTGTCATGCCTTGTTAGCATTAAATTTGTTGATTTAGCTAATTCAGTTAATTAAAAAATAGAAAAATATATAAAGCTTTATAAAAGTAGACATAAAATTATTGTTACTCGGAAGTAACATAATTATGTATGTGGAATAAACTATTGAGTTATGCAATAATATTTCACCATAAATGTCACTGTCATATATAAAATCAGTATAATAGCCACATTTTAATAGAATGCAGAAGTATCTAATTAATTTGATTGATTCAGAAAACAGACTTGACAATATTGGACACACTCCTGATTTTCTCCCACTCAGAAAATTATAAACAAAATAAAATATCCTTAACTAGATAAAATGGATTTTTGAAGAGCCACCACTAAATTATTCTCAGTGAGGAAGGACTAAAAGCTTTCCACTTCAGCTTAGGAACAAAACAAAACAAAACAAAACAAAAAACTCTGCTTTTTTAAAAATCATAAAAGAGAGCCAGGCATGGTGGATCTACATACCTATAATCCCAGCATGTGAGAGGCTAAAGTAAAAAGATAGCAATAAATTCAAGACTAGTCTAGGCTAGATAGTGTGCTCAAGACCAGCCTGAACTACAAAGTGAAACCCCATCTAAAAACAGTAACAAAAGTTCATAAAGAATTCATACACAAAAGTTAGGACTAATCAAGTATGGAAAGTTGTAAGATAAAAGACTGACATATTATACAATTCCATTTACAGTATCCTGAAAAAATAACAACATACTTAAAAATGAGTTTAAACAGGAATCAAGATTTGTACCTTAGAAACTATAAAACATGGCTAACAAACTTTTAAAAGGTATGAATAAATGGAGTGACATTGTGTTAATGACTGGAGTAATTAATACTGTAGATTTTGTTGTTACTGTTTGGGTTTTTCCCTTAATATTGTTAAAATGGCAATATTCCCAAAGCAATTATGTATCCACTTCAATTCTTATCAAAATCTCAATAGCTATTTTTTACAGAAGTAGAAAAACCTTTCTTATTATTCTATAATTTTAAGGGACTCAAAATGTCAAAATAATTTGGAAAAGAATCCAAATTAGACAAGTTACAATTTTAATTATAAAACTTCCTAAAGAGCTTTAGAAGTGGAAATATTAATAGTACTTATTAAGGTTTGAGGATATAATGCAATATAATAGGTTGGAAGTCTAGAAATAAAGTCATGTACCTGTATTGCTAACTGACTTGCCTTTTTTTTTTGGTATGGGGATCAAACTCACAACCACACACTTGCCAGGCATTTATGCTGCTGAGCTAAATCTCTTGCCATTTCAAATGGAAAACAGTAATCTCAACAAATGATGTAGAGACTATGGATATCTACATTAAAAATAAATAAATAAATGCTGGCAATTCTTCATACTTCGTGTAAAAATTTACTCAAGTAGATCAAAGACCCAAATTTATAGCTAACACTATAAAATTCAAAGAACACTTTCATGGCCTTGAATTTTGGATAGTTTCTTAGTTATTACACCAAAAGTACTATATAAACAACATGAAAAAACAGATAAATTGACTTTCTTAATCAGGTAAAGTATAACATTGAATGAGAGAAAAGATTTTAAATTATGTATCTGAGAAATGTTTGGAATCCACTATAAAT